ACTTTCATCACTTTAACTCCATTTGTGTAGCCGGGTTTCATTCTTGCCAAAGCCACACGGGAGCTTCTACAGTTGAAGCTGTGAGAATTTTCTTCTTCAATTCCAGGTTTACACAAAAGGCCTGCCTGCAGCATCCTGGAAATAATATATTAGTGTCAAAAAACACCAACTGACCTGGCCTGTCACTGAAATGGTGACCAAGCAGAAAAGCTCATGTTTCTGTGAATCTTTGGAGGTTTATGAGGTCAGATTGAGCTTCTCTATATTCTATTAAATGCTTTGTTGTTTTTGTCCATGCAACAGAAAGATTTATGGTTCTATTTAACTCAAATAACAGTTTTAGTAACAGTTCATTTAGTCAAACACAGTGTCTGAATATGGATTAACTCCATCAAAATACAACAGATTCATTACTGCATATTATCATTATCGTATCTTTCTTTTGCTTCAAGGTAGACAATAGTCTACATGTTTACTTTTACGTTTTAATTTTGCACACAATACAGTACTGTTTTTAAAGTTGTGTGTCATTTATATGCATATATGTGTATATATATATGACTGTTCAATCTGTGTGGAGTGCTTATTTTGCTTTTTGTCTTAAACCTAAAATAATTATAACTTTATCATCAAAATCCTGTCGTCAGCATGTCTTAGACCTGGGCCACACAGTATACAGACAAATGGTTTTGTATGAGGCTTGTACATAGTAAACTGCAGCTTGTGCTAATGCGTGTGAGCATGACTAACGTGAGAAGGGCTTCTCCTGCCTTAGATTCTCACACTTACATAGCTCAGACTAAATTAGCACACCAACAAATAGAAGAGGGATGGAAGAACAGAGCCAAGATAGTTTCATGTTGAAGACAAAAAGGGACATTCAGGGGTGAATGTGTGTCGGTGCTGGGGGTTTTATAGATCCTGCAATTGACAGATACATCACATTTTGAAACTACAGTATCTCGAGTCCTTGATTTGAAGTATTTTCTGCAGAAACGTGATGTTTGGGCAGGACATTGAGAAAGGAGAAATTATTTAACTGAAGACCTTATGAAATGATCCCTGAAGACACCCTGTACTGAGACTGAATATAAATAAATTCTCACTACACTGGCAATTAATTGTCGGATACATTTTATGGTAGGATTTCATCAAAAATGGGGAACAGTAAAGCCTGTACTTTAAATTCAGGGCTTTAAAGGAACATTAGTGGATTCAGTGTTGATGAGATTGTTAATGGGTGCATCTTACTCCTCAATATATGAGAGTTAGAGTGTTGCCAAGACATTTTTGTGATTCCTAGAAATATGTATAATGCTTATAATAAATACTGTGAACATTTTGACATGACAAGAAAATCATATTCAGATCAGTAATTAAATTGGTTACACACTGTCTGTATATTGTGTAAATTGAAGGAAAGGGGGCCTGCAATGATGTTTTTAGTCTTTTTAAGGGTATATGGAACCTACATTTTACTTTAGATCCTCAGCTCTCATGACTTCATGTTTCTTCCTCTGTCTCTCTCCCTGGTATTAGGACTCCGGGGGAATGTGCTGTTTTCGCCTGAACTCATATGGCCTCTCGGAATGGTGTCCACTTTCAGCCGTTTGCATAACTCATTACCAGCACAGTGCTGATACATGGTGGTGGGGCCTTATACACACACACATACAAACAAACACACACACACACACACACACACAGACAGACACACACACGCAGTACACACTGGCCATTGCCCTGGCTAACTTTGTATGGGGAGTTGCAGTTCATCCAGGGAAATGATTTATTAGCGTGCCTCCGAGGGTCTTCCCTCAGATGAAAGACTTATCAGTAGAACGCTAACCGGAAGAGAGAAATAGAGAGTTTATTAGGTAAAATTTGATGTATAAACCCACTGCTTTTGAGTTGAAGCGGTTAAAGGAACAGGTGTTATAAACATCAACATCAGCTGTTTTCATGCCTGTCTATGTTTACTGTAACTGTCCCTATAAAATAAATCATAAATAAATCTTTTCTTTAAAGCTAGCATTACAGGAATGTTATGTGAATGGGCAACAGTCATATTAAATTCATTAATAGCAGGACTATCCTCTATTAAAGACAACAGTTATGATAAAGTGTGCTAATAAGAAACCTTGTGAAAGGACAGCAACACCAGGGTAAAATATGCATTCACCTCCTAGCTAAACGTAAGTATCATATGTTACTGTGGTGGAAGTCAGCAGCACGAGGCATTATAATACACACTTCCAAAAATAAGCTCATGAAATGAATCCCGACTTTGTACGTTGCCAATGCAAATAAGTAGACGCAGCAGCCATAGAAGCAGGGCTGTGTCTGAACAGTTATTGCTGTGAACTGTTTGGTTCCCTAAAAAAAAAAATCTCACAGCAGCATTGATAATAATATAATAATACATATAATATGATGCTGCATAGTGTCGTAATACTTTACTATAGTAAAAGTAGGCTAATCATGCAGTTAGCTATGCTATCAGAACAGGCCTATTATAAGCTATAACGGCAATACAAGTATTGATGCATTATTATTATTATTGAGACTGATAACAACAGCAGTCCAGTAGTTTTGCTCATTTGCAGGTGTATGGTAAACTGACATACACCGGACACTTATGGTTGTTTCAACAGCATTAAAATGATTTCAGCTAGAAGATTGAGCTACATATGTATGTATTATGTATGTATTAGGCCAATTTAAATGTTTCTAAAACAGTGGTTATACCGTTGCAGTAGCTCAGTTACCAGAGGTCAACTGGTTCACAGTATAAAAAGATAAAATTCAAATGTGCCTTATTGATTTGTTTGAGATACAGAAGAGTAACAAGCACAGCACAAACATTTTGGTGAACGCATTTACCAGCATCGCCAATCGTCAAATTCATTCATTCAAAACAAACACTGTGGTAGAAACAGAGAACATGGAACAGATCTCAAGGAAGGGTGTGACAGTAAGTACGAATAGTACAGCAGTACAAAGACTTTTTGATACTCTTTAGACCAGCAAATCACATATTGCATGCTAACTGGAAGAGTTTGCAGAGGAACAGTGCAGCTGCTGCAGCAGTGTGGAGTGTGGAGAGCAGAATCAGTTTAATTAGACCACTTTTTTCAAACGGTGTACTGGATATATGTGCAGTGCAGTGTGAAGAGTAGGTCATCTGTAAATGTAGGAGTTAACAAGATGAGGCATCACTCCAAGATAGTAAGCAAACACAGTGTTTATTAAGTTAAAGGGAAACCCCACTTTTAAAGTTTAAAACACTGAATATTCAAATTGGTATGCAGTAATAGGAAGTCGTATTTGCAGTAAATCAGCTAAAGCACACAAAACGTTTGACATTTAAGGTTTTATGGGAGTGCAAAAGCAGTAAATGAGAGCAGGATGAAATTAACATGAATTGAAGTTCAGGCCAAGATAAAGTCACAGCTGGCAGTCAGATGGATATTTGACTGCAGGTTCTGTTTATGATCTGTCACCATGTCCAGTAGATCTAACATGGCAAACATTGACTAGTTGGATTCTTGTGAATACGTGTGTGTAGAGGGTTAGTAGGTCAAGGTTCAAGGTAACTAGAGAACAGCTGGGTGTGACCTTCTACCACAATGCTGTCCAATAGCTTCCAAATTCCCACTTAGTCATCAGCAGGTTCTGTGGTTAGAGGGGGACTCCTGGGTCTGTGGTCCTCTACCGCCGTCCAGTGGTAGCAAGTCAGAAATGCAGCTCACATCCCAACACCCATCATCATAAGCTACCAATGATTGATAAAATTTTAGCCAATTTACTCCCAATCATATACACACTGTCAAATACTGCTGCATTGCTTTGATGAGTTACATTACAGGACTTTATATGTTGTCAAAGTTATATTACTGTATACAGTACAGACAGCGCAGTACATTTATAAGGCCTCCCATGCAACTATTGTTGCACATATTGATTGATTTACAGTGCAAATTTTCTAAAAAGACTTTAAATATCAACACAACATGTGACAACAAGTGATAACATACAACATAAACACACATACACAACTGAAAAGGGACATAATAAATAGGACTGTGCAATTAACTAATATATTATTGAAATGGCAATAAATGGCAAGTGCAATATGCAAATTACAGAAGCTTCAATGTTTTAGAAAATGTGTGACAGCATTATAATGAAGTACTGTAGTGCTACAAAATCTTGTTCTTCAGATTTAAGAGATCATGTTTGTTTGGTACAGACCCCAAACAATTTTATTTTTTATCATTATGATTTTAATAATTTTTTTCAGTGAAAATTTAATTTGTGATGCAAAAATTATCAATCTCACACTAATCATGAATCATATCTCAATATCTGTGTGATGTTTTCCCTAATAATAAACAGAAATAGAATAAAGATTTATTCTTGTTTATCAATACAATTCTTCACCTCTTTATTAAATAACTTTATTGATTTTCATAAACCTTTATTCATGCAGTCATATGCATTCATTCCAACATATATTTGTCTATTTTTAGTGTTGATGGATTTATGTATTTGTTTAGCAGCATAGTGTGCTCACTACTACTACTGCTTCACTCTACATAATGTTGAGATTATTGACTTGCTAACATGAAAATGTGATGTCAGACAGTAAGAATCTATCATAAATAATTTTCTCTTTGCTCATCTTCCTCTAGAGAGGTCAGGCTCAAAGGTCAGTATTAGTGCTTTGCTCAAGAGCACTGCAGCAGGGTCCTAACCACACAAATGTTGATATGTTCATGTTAATAGCTTTTAGATTAATTCATTTTTGGGCCTGTTTGCCTCTTTAAACACACATTTTAGATTAGATTATTTTTATCCAGCTGCAAGTTTACACCACCAGTTTGTGCTGACACTGTGACCCTGAGAGATTGAGTGAAACATGAGATCCTCTGCTGAAATTCTCCACTAAGCTCTGCTGGTTTGTGTGTGTGTGTGTGTGTGTGTGTGTTTTGGGGTGGTGGGATTTCCACAAGGTCAGAGGTCACCAAAATCCTCTTTCAAACACTGGTCCCATCACTCCCAGTTGTCTTCACGTTACATAACGCTCATGGTGAGCAGCAAACTCATGATAACGGAGGGAGGTTTGTTTGTGTGCATGCATTTAGGAGTCACATACTTGTCTAGCTTATATAACATATTTACAGGCTAGACTTAATCACCCTCCCCAGCACAAACACATATACACACATGCTTTGCTGGCGTCATGTAGTACCTCTATTCCATGAAAGGATTTTTTTTTAGTGTCCATCCGAGGTCATAACAGAGAGCTGAACGAATGTTATCACAGCAGCTGAACTGTGAAAGTACAGTCTGTCATCAGCCAGCGGTGACACAAGTAGGTTTGTCAGATAGAAAAGCAGCAGGTGGAGCTACAGAGATAATGCTCAGCCCTCTTTTCGTCCCACTGGACAACCATCCTCTAACAATGATGGAAAAAGCACAAAGGAATTATTACGCCATAAAAAGATAAATTTGACGTAAACTTTTCAACCCTGCAAAACCTCCCAGTGATTCCATCAATAACATTGCATGTTGCAATATGGGGCACTGTTCAGACCCAGAGCAGATAGCTTTTATGTGAATTCTAGCCATGACGCCAAGATAGCAAATCTGTCATGGGTGAATTATGGGAAAATGTGCTTAAATACATTGTGGAAGATATGTTAAATATTTCCATTTCATGTAATAATACAGCTATAAAAGCATGGTGTCATGGGTTTGTACATGTCAGTAAATACTGTACATCACATAACTGAAAAAACTCCTATAAAATGTGAATAATAAAAGCTGTGCATACCGTAATATTGTTTCTCCTTAGAAGCCTGTATTTGTTGTTTATCACTAATATACACTGGCTGTTAAAGACATAAGACATTAAGATAGAGAAATTAAAGTATTTAGGCTTGGTGAATTGCTTTCCAGTCGTCCATGAGTTTAACTACCATGAGTGTTTGGCATTTTGGTGGCCATTCAAGTGCAACCCTCTCGTGTTGAACTTGGAGAATGATGAGGATCCTTTGAACGTAGTTATTTGAATGCAATTATTTTTGGTCCCAGTGAGGCTTTGTAGGGTGAGTCATGATGATGGTATGATAAAATCTTTGTGGGTAGGGATGCCATATGAGGGGAAACCCTGGATGATTCAGGGGGCCCCAGAGCTGGACCAGGGCCCAGTCAGAGATCAGAGAGCTGTCACTGAGCTGTTGTCAGGTGGACCAAAATTTCTAGTCTATTACTAGGTACCCTTGGTAGTCTGCCTCATTTAAGGTGTAGGCGCAGGTTCAGCTCGTGAGTATACAGTCCTATAAAATGAATCACATGTAGGGCTGGGTATTAATGCTCTATAGTGAACGGACATAATTAAAGATTTGAATTGACTGAACGTTATCTTAAATTCAGCAAATTTTACATTTTTTGTGAAAATTTGCCAATGCACTATTTCATTTAATTTCTTGCCAAGTACAAACTTGTAGAGGAGTAAATTGGTTAAGGCTCGAAAAATGGAAATACACAAATAACTGAGAATTGTACTTTAAATGTACTCAGAGTTATTTTCCATTTCGGCTTTCATTGCTTGCCAAGCTACCGTACTGTTGCATGTGGACTCAGTTCACTACAACAGCAGCAATTAGCTGGCAGCACACGTTTGTTGCATGTCACACAGTCTATTATTGTGACTCTGTTGCATTGACGTTGTTCAGGCCATTGAACTGGAGTAATATTGGATTACTGGACAGTCTGTGGCACTAGAATAAGCATTATGTATTGTCTGTGTCTTCCTGCTGTGTAATTCTATATGTAGTGAGAGTGGAGAGGCTGTGTTAGTCTCATTCCTAAACAGTGCTTCTATACCACACTGGCTCTCATCTTACCATGTAACCTTTTCTGAGTGGGGATTGCAGAGATTGTCCAACAGGGTACAGTTAAACCTTCCACTGCCCTCAGAACCAGACCCGGACTAATCAACCACCAACCTGCTCCTTTCCTCAGCGCTCTCTTTGTTTTAGTCATCTAAATTGAGTGTAACACAGTGTTTAAGGCCGCACTAGTCAATATTTGTATATGAACAATAGATCAAATGACCATATGTAATATGAAAGTTGTCACTTGTAGAGACACACCCAGAGAATTATCTCTACAGAGCATTTTAGCGTCTTTCAGCTCATTATTTTGGTTTGACAGCCCACAACTTTACTGTTCTGATTCACCCTCACCACTCTAATCAGCCTTGTTTACCATTTATTTTGAACAACAAACGACAAAGCTGGCGACTAGCAGCCAGCACGTGAGATATTTTCCTCAGTAGGTGTTGAAGACCATAACAGAGCTAAAAGGAGAGTGAATACTGGACCTAAATGACTCCAAATGATGGCTAATGTTGCATCGTGAACACTAGATGTGTCAGTAGGCAACTGCTAACTAACATGTTTGCCATTACTAACTTCATAAGCTGATAATATGTACTGTTCATAGCTGGTTCCACGACCCCCAAGTGATGTTGAGGAGTTGTGGGGAGTAACTACGAAGGCCCTAAAGTGCCCAAAAGGAAATATTTTTTATTAAAAAAATAATAATAATTTACCAAAGAGAAAGAACCCACATGAGTTTGTTTTATTACGATTAAACAGAAATATTAATACTTACAATACTACACAAAAGATGCAACTGTAAACTAGCTTTCTTTAAAAAAAAACTAAGGAGAAGCCAATCCTCTAAAATTACAGCTTTAATTACTTTAACAAACTTTAACAATCATGTACTCCCTTTAACAGGCAGGAACACTACTTCAGGTAGAGAATGTAACACAGCTCTCGTCTTCAGACACAGACACACAGTGTGGACACTGGGTCCTACCGCAACTCCAATCCCAGTTTACATAGGCTCAGCCCTAATTAGTAAATGGGAGACGAGAAGAACCCAATGTGAGAAGTTTCTTCTTTTGTCATAAAGACAGAAACAGTTACCTGGCGGATGTCAGTTAAAAGCAGTTTTTAGTAAATCTGAACTGCAGAGTTTGTGGATAATGGCTAGTAACTGTGATTTTGTATTTGGAGAGAACAATACTGCTTGTTTTAAACAAATGAAGTGGCCCTTTAAATCCCTGGATAGTAGTATGTTGGACTGGCAGTTCTGACTAAGAAAGGCATCGTATTAATGTTTGCTGCATTGTGAAAACTAATTTCCTGATCAATGATCTCGTTTGTCCAATCAGTAAACAAACGTGTATTTCCACAGTATGTCCTGTACTCTGTCTGCACTTGCACAGTGTCCTCTTTCATTCTCACCTTATAGTAAATTGACTGGGGATATGAGTGTTAAACCTGACAGCTGAAGAGCTGTCTGTACTGGGAACAGTGCTAAGGGACAGAGCGTAGGTCAGGTTTTTCCGGTGTTGACAGATGGTTGCCAGTATATAGGCGCCGGCGTTTTGTCACCCTGTCTACTCCAGATACCACTGTACTGAGAGGTGGAAAGGTTTGAGGTCAGTGTGCCCAGTCAGACACGTCTCAATAAGTGTCAATCGTTTGTATGTGGTCGAACTTATATGTATCCATGTCCATATCTGTGTCAGTTCATCTTCTTAAGTTCTCAGCAGCAACACACGTGCAATAGGTTTCCTCTCGCACAATCCCCTTCTTCTTTGTATCAACAGTTCTTAGGTGTCAGCGGTATCACCTGTTTCCTGTTTTCTTCCGTTGTCTAGTCCCTCACGTTGCATGGACAGTCAGCCTATATTGGGAAGCCTGTCACCCCACTTCCTATTATGGCACAATGTAAAAACTGTATAGTTCCACATAGAATCTGAAAACAAGATCCATGTTGAGCAAAATATACTGTATACTCATGCTACTACACTGGCTGAAACTTTGCAGGAGGTCTTAATGATCAGATTCGGTGGTCTTCTGTTTTTTTTATTGGCTGTACATTTTATTTGTTTGTCTTGCTTTTTACAGCGTCATATTTCAGTCCCAGATTCTTGGGATTCTGACACCTGACTGAAGGGCTTTTGAAGTGTCTCAAATGTCACATAGCGATCCTCTCCAGCATCTCCCCCTAACCCGCATCAATCCCCAACTGCACACCCGAGCCCTCAGCTCTTATCACTGGCCACTCAGTCCCTGACGTCCACAGGGGGCTGCACTTTAATTTGGAGGAAAGCCATTTGCTATTCTTAAAACTCGTCTCTGTGGCGCAGTGCTGAGGGAGAGATCTCTGTTCTCCCTCCACTTCTTTTCTTCTCCCTGTGGCTTTGTCTTGGTAGTATGGTTTATGTTGCTGCGGCCACTGAGACTGCATGAATGTGAACGGACCTTATTAGTGGGTGAAAAGTTTTTGCTGTTTGTAAGGACATCTCCTGTAAATCAGTCATGAGCTCCAGCCTTGTCAACTCTTTGGCCAAAGTCTACGACCCTAACCCTCTTCATGGGCAGAAGCCCGGTGGTAGGAAGCTCTCACTTAATGGATCAGACAAGTCACTAGCTTCTTCATCTTCATCATCACCTTCCTCCCCCCATGAAGCCACCCTGCGCTGCGTGGAGAACCGGATGGACTCCCTGAGCTCTCAGATGGAGCGTTTGCTCAACATGCAGCAGACTGTTCTGACCCGGCTGGATGGCTTGTCCCAGGACGTCAGGGGAATGGGTCGAGATCTGGCCTCTTTGCGTGAAGAGGGCCACGGGGGTAGGCGTGGGTCTGGGTTTGAGGTGTGCAGGGAGCTGCGTGGGGCCGTGCAGAGGACCAGCGAGCGGATGGAGTGTCAGGGACGCAGGCTGGAAGGTGTGGAGAAGCTGGTGGAGAGCACCCAGCAGGTGATCAGCTTCATTGGGGAGGTGGTGAAGAGCTCCAGGCTGGTGGAGTTGCTGTTTAAACAGCCTGGAAACAAGGCTTTCAAGAAGGTGAGAGGTTTAACAGCATTACAGGGTTCTCCTGCAAAAAGTGGACCAGAACAACCTCAAAATTAAATGTCTAGTTTGTTCTAGTCTGTTTTCTCCAACATTTGAGTACTTTGAGGAAAGTTCTGTTACTGTGTAACTTAATGGCAACATAGTGAAAGGTCTAATTGCATTGTGATCATTGTGGCAGACGCATTAAGTTCTGTCTGAGAGGTTGCTAATGACATTGGATGACTTTTGATGGATTATGTGACCTGTTGGCACATTATAAATAGCTGGCTCTAAAAAAAGAAGATTTTGAAGATAAAATACAAACAGTGCAACTTCAACTGGGTCTTAACATGTTTTTTAAGTTCCTTCTTAAAGCTGCTACTCATTCCTCTTACTTCTGATATGGCTCCTATTATTAGCTCTACTGTACTTCCACATGTTGTTCTTTGCAATGTTAAGTAATTTTCCTCTGTGTAGGGACTGTCTGAGGTGTAAATGATAAGAGTCAGACTGGTTATCTTATCAAAACCATGTCTGTATCAGCAATGGGTAGGACTGCAGCTGCACAGCGTCAGTTTAGCACTCGCCTGGCCTGTTCTGAATAGGTGACATTATTACTGCTTTGATTAATTAGATGGGCTGTTGCCCTTGTATGAAGCCACACATAGTCTGCATCACACTGTGCATGTTTGTTATTCTAGGATTGGTGCATAGCTTCTTTTGCAGAGTATATGTCTAAGTTTGTGTGTGACATGGAATATCTTACGTACTTGAATTCTGCTGATTCACAAGCGTTTTTTAGGAATGGGCAAACAGATTTATTACACCAAAAAGCCTCTGTCAGACACATTAAATGACTGTAGTGGATCACCTGATTTTTTTTCTTCTGCCATTCTGTAAAAATATCAGTTTCAAAATATTGATGGTGTGTTCTTTAATCATTGCGGGAAAGAGTGAATAAAACTGTTTCCTGTTTTGTGCGGCATGTCGTCTGCTACAGATGATATGTGACCTTTCCTCTTTCTCCTGGAGAAGGCATCCGTCCCCCAGAACATCATACTTAAGTTACGAGGGCAACCATAGAAACACTAACAAACACTTTAGCTTGCTCTCTGGCTACTGTGCAAATGGAAACACATATATGACTACGCTGTTCCCATCAGAAAGCCGACTCCTGGCTCCATAACCTTAGACTACTTCTGACCCCTTTTACGGGTAAAAAAGAACTGTTGCAAATATAAGAGTTTGTTCTTTAAATTCTGGTTCAAGCCCATGCCTGTCACTGTGAGGATCCATTGTCAAATGCTTGTTTCTTCTTTCTACAACAAGGCAAAGGATGACAAGGATAAAGCAAAGCTGAGCCTGAAGGGCTTAAAGGCCCAGAAGAAGAGAAGACCTCAGGACACGTCAGGTAGGCTCAAACAGGAAATAACACACTACTTCCTATCCCCTGAGTTTATGCAGAAATGTCCATCTCTGTTCTCCAATGAACTGCTGGAATAGTATAATAATACTGGATTTTAAAATTTAAGTTAAAAAAAATCTGATGATATATTTTACGTATATATAAACATAAACACATAAATTAAACCTAAAATCTTGATATTAATTAGAATTATTAGGTAAATACATACTGAATGGGACATTTGACAGTGTAAAAATCGACTTGTTAGTGCTCTCTGGTGGACAAACTATGCAACTGTGACACTTTTTTAAAGTAACTCAAACCGACTGTTGCATTTCTGTACTCAAGTTTCTTGTTAGTTGGCAGCCGACACATACGTACCCCACTACACATAAGAAGGTAATATTGGCTGATACATTGGTCTGGCAAATATTGTTCTAGCTTTAATGTGGACATCAGTATGGCATACAATACACTCACAGTGTCTAGGGTCTGCACATGGCTTTGCTTTCTTCATTTTCTCTGGCTCAACTTTTGCTAACTTTACATTCATCATGCTAACATTATGTTAGTAATAATCTAAAATACAGCAGAATATAGGAATTTAAGCATCATTTTAGAATCAATCAATTTGGAAAAGCAGGGGATCACCAAAGTCATTAAGATTTATCCTTTGGGCACCATGGATGAATGTACCAAACTGTATGGCAATCCATTCAATAGCTGAGAAAGTTCACTATGGATCAAAGTGGTGGACAAACTGACTGACTAATATCGCCTTCCCTAGTCTGGTTAAAAATGTAATAGCCTCTTTGTTTGCTTTGTTTTTCCCATATCAGACACGCCCTCGCTGAATGAGCCTGTGCTGCAGGAACAGGTGGAAAAGCTCAACAGACAGAACACCGAGCATTCCCATGGAAAAGCAGAGGCCGACAGTGAGAGGGGCGAGGACAGGGGAAGTGGAGGAAGAAGACAGGAGCCTGCTGAGCTGATCCTGGACGGACCACACACCTCTGCCGCCCAGTCAGAGGAGAGGAAGAAGGCAACTAAGGAGAAAGAGGAGGAGGAGGGGGATTTCTTTGAGGAGTCAGAGTCAGAAGAAGAGCAAAAGGCTGAAGATGTTAGTCTAGAACAAGCTGGAAAAGTGGAGGATGATGGGAAGAAAAAGCACAGTGTCGAGGCAGAAGAGTCGTCAAAATTAGAAACAGCCTCAAGTGCAGATATCTGCAAGACCTCCCTCCTTCCACAGGAAAGGTATATCTCACAAATCACAAGACTGTGTGTCAGTATTGTGTTTACTTTTATTTCGTTTTTTACATTTTTATGTGTGCAAGTCAGAGAAGTCAGTTAAGAGCCAATTCTTCATGAGAAGGAAACAAAAAATAAAACAAAACTGAATTAAATGAAATATTCAATTTTTCCTTTTATGTTTTATTAACTGTGTAGCTCTGAGGAAGTCGGCGATGTGGCCACTTGCAGCAAGCGTCGTGTCACAGAAGAAGACCTGGTGATGGATGACCTCAAAAAAAGCAGAGTGGAAGACAGTAAGGTGGAAACTGCTGATGGACAGGTGGTGGAGGGGGGCGAGCTGCAGGCTTCCAAATCTGATGAAGCAAAGGCAGAGGCGGAAGAGGAGGGGAAGGAAGGAGAGTCGGCATTGAAGGAATTTATTATTGGTGAGACATTTCACTTTGACTTTGCATGAATGCATCAGAAACAATCTAAGAAAACTGAACTGGAGTTCCAGCTTAGAACACTGAGATCATGTTCTTGGTTTTAGAGAGGTTTTTGCAATTTGTTTTCATGTCTAACTTTCAATTTTGGTGGGAATGAGTTGTGGACATATGTTGGCAGAATGATGATTAGTGGCGACGTCTAGCCTACATTTATTTTGAAATTTAGACCTGGGCTTTGTCAAATCCTCTTGTGTATATGGTCTTATGTCACCATATAAACTTTTTATTGCTGTGTTGAAAGAAAATAACTCATATTTGTATTACAAAATTAAATTTAAGTTTTAGGGGTTCTGCTTTTTCTGCTTTTTATATGTTTTTATTATTATTATTTATTATTATATATTATAATATTATATATATATTATATATAATTATATAACATTTACATTAAAATACAACACTTTTAGTCACAAAGAAACATTTCTTCAGTCAAAAACTGTCCAAATAAAAGCCTGCAGATCAGGCAAAACAGATTGTAACCATAAAAGATGACCTATCTTGGTTGTAAGCTGGTGACATTTGACTTTTTGTTCCTTAGATGTTGAAGCAGATCCAGTGTCATAACACCGTGCCTGTTTAAGCGTCACTAACACGTCAGTCGGCACAGCTGGCAGAGCAGATAATGAGACATTGGCATGTTGCTATTTTGAACCCTTTTGTTTCTGGGCCTGCGTCTCTGCCTCTGTCCCCGTTTCATACTGTCTGTTTTGCAAACTTTTTATTCATTTTGTCTATATTTCTTTATGCTTTCCTCAGACTCAAGCCCTCCACCGTTAGCACCTTTCGACCATCGCATCGTGACTCCCAAACCCCATCAGATAGCCACCTATTACACAATCAACAGAGACGAGGTCCTGGGAGGGTGAGTAAAAAGAGAACCACAGAATAACCAGCCCTTAACAGCTTATTTTTATTTCACTCAGTTACAGCCACAGACATCTGAATGGATTGGCCCTCTGTAATGAAATAACAAAGGATCTCACACCCTGTGAGGGGACGCCTAATAGTTTTTTCCAATACCTTTTAATTGCCCCCTAAAGGGCAGATGATTGCAGGCCTCATGGGGCAAAGCGGGTTAGGGTCTCTCTGATGTAATAGATCGGTGCTAAATCCTGCCTCTCATACTGGAGATTACCCCTCAACACGCAAGCACATGTCTCAAATCTCTGACATAATGGCACAGTATATAGATCTAATTTCTGTGTGAATGAAGAAGCTTATGATGATGACGCGTGTGTATAAGAAAGAGCTACAATTAATGGTTATTTTCATTATCAATTAAGTTACTTTACAATTAAAACAAAAGATTTTTGTGTGGTCTATAAACGTAAGAAAAAACTAACAAAAATCAATTTGCAGAGTTCCCAAAATTCATTTTTTATGCTTTGTCCAAAATCCAAAGATATTCAGTTTACAATGATATAAAACAGAGATAAGCAGAAAGTTCTTTGTTTGAGATTCTGGATCCAGCAATTATTGGGAATTTGACCATGGTAAAATACTTAAACAATTATTCAAAAAAATCTAAATTGTAATCATAATTTTCTGCGGATCATTGAGCACTAAAACAAGCGTGTTTGCTTTTCTTTCATTAGGGGACGTTTTGGACAAGTCCACAAGTGCATGGAGAACTCGTCTGGTCTGATGCTGGCTGCCAAGATCATCAAAGCCAGGAGCCAGAAAGAGAAGGTGCAGTAAAGATCAGCCAATGAACGCTGAATACAAAACAGAATCCTTGTTAAGCAACGGTATTGGGATGCCTGTTTCCCAGACAGTCTAATGGATGGTTAATTTTATCATTGCTAAGCACCATTAAGGATTACATTTTAAAAATAGACAGCTCAGCAGCCCAGAGGGCGTGGGCATGTGCCAATTTGTCAGCCTCATTGTGTCTTTCTTACTCTGGGTCATCTGAAAGAGATGTGGGAGAGGTCCGATGTCCGAGCATAGCTTTGTGGTTACATTATCATCTGAGATATTCAAAAATCTCGAAGCCGACCAAAAGCCCAGCAAACACACAGCCAAATCCTTGGCTGGCTCATGTTGCTATCTGTGATCATCAGTGACAAAAGTGACTGTGTTGGCAAACCCTGCTTGTCTGTCTGTATGCAGGGCTCAACAATAAGGATTGCCCAACTGCCCAGGGCAAGTAAAATGCCACTTTTAGTGAATCTAGTAACTCAGGCACTCATTTCAAGAATTGAACCACTTGCCCGACTGGGAAAGTGAAAAAGAACAATACACTTGACTCTTGACTTCCTGGCTCATATGTTTAACAGCCTTAAAGTCTTAGAAACCAAAAATCACTCTGTGTGTTAACTGACTCTTGTGTGTTTCTGTCTGTCTCTCAGGAGGTGGTAAGGAATGAGATCCAGGTGATGAATCAACTGAATCATGCCAACCTCATCCAGCTGTACGCCGCCTTTGAGTCACGCCATGACATCATCCTGGTCATGGAATAGTACGTCCGGGTACTTGCATGCGTGTGGGCGTACAGTATGCATTTTCACTTGTCAATAAAACAAAGTTACAAGCTCTTTGTTGCTGTAATTGTGTGTGTGCGTGTGTGTGTCTGTGCCGTAGTGTGGAGGGAGGGGAGCTGTTTGACCGCATCATTGATGAGAACTACAACCTGACAGAGTTGGACACGGTGCTGTTTATACGTCAGATCTGTGAAGGGCTGCAGTACATGCATAAGATGTACATCCTACATCTTGACCTCAAGGTAACCTCTGCTTCAATTAGTGATCTCATGTTATCGCAGTCAGTAATATCTTCTCATTTTACTGTCATATTGATAAATGTACAAGTTTTTCTCATTGCCATGCACTCTATTACCCATCTTTAAGTTAACTTTTTTCATTGAAAACCTCACTAAAATGTTGTTTCCATTATTTAAATACTCTATTTGTGTATAGTTCTAACTTTTTAGTTATGTTTAACTACTGTAAATACTCCACTGCAGCATCTTACTAGGATTAAATACAATAAAGAAATTGTTAAGACAAGATGATCTAACCTTAAAAAAATGTACTTATTATATATCAGACTATATATCTGTCTCTGACTTAATTGCACTTCTGTCTAAAGGACAGTAAAGAAAACCAGAGATTTATCTGTAATGGTTCTTTTTGTTCTTTTTCAGCCAGAGAACATTCTTTGTGTCAGCAGAGCCACTAACAAGATTAAAATCATTGACTTTGGCCTGGCCAGGAGGTAAAACTCCTCATCTATTTACAGTTAAAAGCTTTCATAACAGGGCCTGAGATATAACTCTTATATTTCTGCTTTTGTGTCTCCAACAGGTATAAACCCAGAGAGAAGCTGAGGGTCAACTTTGGAACGCCTGAATTTTTAGCTCCTGAAGTCATCAACTATGAGTTTGTTTCATTCCCCACAGACATGTGGAGCCTTGGCGTCATCACTTACATGCTGTGAGTTGTGGATGTTCATTCACACACACACATATATAAAAAAGACACACAGTAGCATTCCTGACCTGTTTCCTCCTGGTCCAGGCTCAGTGGCTTGTCTCCGTTTCTGGGGGACGACGACAACGAGACGCTGAACAACATCCTGGCCTGTCAGTGGAACTTTGAGGAGGAGGAGTTTACGGACATCTCTGACGAGGCCAAAGACTTCATCACCCTTCTGCTGGTGAAGAGCAAGAGCTGGAGGATGAGCGCAGCAGAGTCCCTCAGACACCCCTGGCTGTCAGACCGGAGTCTGCACTATCGACTAAATCAGAAGGTAATGAATGGCATTTGGTTTTTAAGATGCACTGTTAAACAGCTGGCCAATCAGAGCTCTTGTTTCTCCTCTCTGTGGGTTCATTTTTAGTTGGCACACTTCTTATTTCAGCTAACCGTCAAATGATAACGGCAAGACAAATTCTGAATTATCATGATAGGTAGACACATTTGCAAATTGCCACATAAAAAAACAAATATAAAAGCTTTAAAACTCTTTAGTCAATAGGTAACAGGACATAGGTGAGGAGAGAGAAGAGGGAACCCTGAGATGTCAGTGTCTCAGTCCCTTAGGCCAGCAGGAAACCCGCAACATTAAATGTTTAGGGAATCCTTTAAATAGAAATTAATTTATTCCAGTGGTTCCCAAACTGTGGGGCAGGCCCTTCCGCTGAGTCACAGAGCCACTGCAGGGTGGGCGTTGAAGGGATTTTTATTGTGGAAATGTGATCATTGTGATCTTAATTTCACTAAGAGTCAACTTAGATCCTTTTTTATTGGTTGCTTACCCTATCATACTACTACTTCTACAGGGGTGCACGACAGAAAAAGTTTTTAGAACCACTAAATTAATTAATTTAGAACTATTTTTTCCATTGATCAGTTGATTATGATGTTTGTAAATGGTGTGTTAGTGTAGACACCACATCTCAGGACTGTTTTAACTAAGAGCATGGAAGTTCATTCTTGACCTACGAAGCAATATGACAAAACCCAATCTCAAAATCATGTATTGATGGACTCACAAACCAGTGTTTATACAAGTGTTTGTTCCAGTGCCCTAATTGGAGTCCTCTCTCATTGCAGAAAAACAAGTGCCACTCCACACATGCTCCTTCTCCAGAGAGCTAGACAGGTAAGATTCTCCTTAGCAAACATAACAGTTGATTCATTCTCAATCTTACTCATACTTAAAATGAACTTGAAGCCTAAAATCTGCCCTTTTTTTCTGTTTACCTCCTAGAAACACTGTGAGGCCCTCAGCATGCCTTTTGACAATGTAGGGCCCTGGAGCCCAACACTGGACCAATGCTGCTGTACCTGTATACTGGATAACTACTCTCTGCTTCGCATCCTCCCGTTAGCTTAGCTCCTCAGCTTGTAGTTCTGGTCTGAATGGTGATAGAGAGCCCCGCAGGGAAACAGAACAGACATTTGTTAATGCTGCCTTCAAGGCACAAACCACCTGCTAGCATGCTTACCGTCCTGTGAGCACACAACCTCCGACTGAACCAGTGAGGACTCTCTAGATCTATGGTGGTGTGTAGTTTCTGTTGCTGCCAAGGTAAAATAACCACCTGTATCACAATGGGGAATCCAAAATATTAGAGACTAAAAGCCTGAATTACTTGTCACTTCTACAACTTCCACGTGAATCCCTGAAAATCAGCAGTTTAGCATCAAACAGACTCCTGTTTGCCAGTGATCAGTCTGTCATGTTGTCCTGGTATGTTGCATGCTTTGCACTTTTTGGCCTATTTCTTCAAGATTTAGCAAACAACGTTAAACAAATATAGACTGAATGCTATTATTATAATAATATATTTTTGTGAATACAGATTTTTTTCTTTCTTTTAATTTACAAGTCTTATGAAAATGTTATTAATTCTCGAACATAAGGTAAAAATATATGTTGAAATCGGTTGAAGTTGATTTCACACCACATTAATTTATTTTGTATATAACACAACACTGCATACTCTCATTCCCCTGAAAAGTGAGAACATCTCAATGACTGAATACTTCCCTGTCCATGTCAAATTCTCTGGTACATTTTCACTGTAGACTGGATTTCCTTCTGTATGCGTTAATGCCACTAGCTCACCTTTGCTTCGGCAGTTTGGAGTAGCCCTTTCACCTTCCATGAAGGCATAACGAACAACAACAGAATACTACCTATGAATGATTCATGTTTATGACTGAAGTGGATTCTTATGTTCATTTATTTACTGGTTCAACACCAGACTGTACTTGAAGTGCAAAGTTTTTATTCAAGATGGGATTTTATTTTCAGGGGAGACAAACAGGACTTCACTTAGTTATGCACATACTGTGTGGATGCACAGTTCAGCTTTATGGAGAGCCAACAACAGAGCGGAGGAGACACCAGTCGGTGCTTTATTGTCCTATTCTGCCTCAGAGATGGGAAGTTGGGTGAATTTCCGTCACTCAGTTGTTGGCTGTTCCATTTGGAAATGGAAAAGCTTTGTGATTTTGAATACTTGTTTATTTGAATTTATGATACTTTTTTTCAAGTTTTCTTCTGTAATGATGAGACATACATACATGTAGAATATAAATAAGCAAATAAATAAAGCACACTAGAAAACATTTGCACTCTTTCTCACAGTGTATTTCTTTGTATGTGACGTTGTGAGTATATACAAAAAAATGTATACTGAGATTAATTTTGACTTAATACGTAGGCCTATCCACATTCTGAAGTATATATTAGGTAGCTTATGTTTCATATTCCTGTATGCCCACACCAGAGTTGTTACAGTTTTGTATTTTTTTTATCAGTATTCAGTCTTATTTTGTTTTTTGTTTTCAATTCACTTCAGTTTCAGTTAGTTTCCAGAGTCGGTTTGCTTGTTTTAGTTTAGTTTTTATTAGTTCCACCTTAGTTAGTTTATTATAATAATATGGGAGTATTTGTCAAAATAGGTATTACAATATAAACACATTAACTCAGGTGGACATCCCAGTCTCAATAAACATCTGCACAAATTTGACAAAATTGACTAAAACTAAAGACATTTCCTGTATATTTTGATTTTATTTTGGTAGGTTATGCTGTACAAAAGCCTTGAAGATAAGAAGAAAAGCTGAAATCTGCACACATAAATTGCCAAACGCAGCAAAAGAAATATTTGGAAATCATGTTCCAGACGCAATAATAAAACTTCCTGTTTGGGTATCTTACCTCTAAAATAAAATTGGAAAATGAAAAAACTGGCATAATCAACATACGGATTAAATGAAAGTCAGGAAGAGCAGTGATCCTGCTTGTCCTGGCCTTGCTGTCGAAGATCCAAACCTCCTTTAACAACTGAGCTCCAAGCTACGTTCCCCTCAGTATCATTCACCTGGAAAAACAAACACCTCTTTGTGTATGGTGAGGGATTTCTGCCTGTTTTGGAGAGACAAAGAGAGTGTATGAAAGAGAAGACAACAAATGTGGGTCAAAGCAGAAATTCCTGGAGAGGAATATGAGGGCATTTCTCTCATCACCTGATATGCTAAGGCAGACGGTTCCAGTCAGTTTCCCAAGCGAGAAATACAATTTTTTTCCCCCCCATAAAAATACCACAGAACAGACTAGTTCTGGGTTCACACACATACATATATGCTGCATGGGGACATTTTCACATCCATTAAAATATCAGATTGCTGTCTCACAATGAACTTCATTTATCAGTGCAAATCAAACCTTTGAAGCAAGTGAGGGGCTCTGGGAACAGGGAGAGAACAGGAAATCCAGCTTCAACCAAAATTCAATTAGTTAACATAAATAATTTCACAACCTCATCTCAATTAAATCTCCAAGCTCTGTTTATTTCTGTCTGAAGTTTCAGTAAAATATACACAGACACATTCTTTCTCTTCAGTTGTAATGGAATAAGGAGCATGGAATAAGAAGGAAATGGGACACAAGGATATTCACGACTTGAGCACTTACATACTAAAAGATTGACAGTGAAGGCCAAAGCATATGATTGTCATCATTTTTATACACATCAAGCTGTTTAATGAGCCCCTGTGTCCTGTGGATGGGGCCCTTTCACCCTGAGACCGCTCCCACCAGGAGAGAAATATTTTAATGAAGTTACTCTGATGTTTTCCTCTTGTCATTTTAAACAAACTCATAGTCAACTAGGCCTCAGCTCTGTAATAGCATCTGTACTTATTGTTTCTCCATTTAATTATTGCATTTTTCCCTTTAATTGTCCCTCAAGTCTACATACATCTGCAAACGAGCATAAGGCAAGTACAATAACTTACAAGTACTGTATTTAAGTACATATTTGAAGTAATTACATTTTATATGCAACTTCTACCACTTCTACTCCACTACATCTCAGAGGCAAACAACATCTCCTATCTATCAATTTATCCATCAAAAGAGTATGACTTTTTCTGACAAACTGAAGAATTGTTTCAGTTCTCCTACTAATGTCTATTAGCAGGAAAATGTATGGTCACAAAGCTGAAAACAGGTCTGTTTTTCTGAATTCAAGAATAGTTGAATTTTTAGAGATTTGTGGTTCTCACAGGACAGCCACACAACAAACATATCTTATGACATATAATGCTCTGCTGTAGATTGAACAACCCAACGTTATATAAAGTAGTTAAAATAAGCTCTACAGCAGTAAAATGCAACATACACATAAATGCAGCGGTAATATAGTAAATAGTACTTTTACTTAAGTAAAGGATCTGAATGCTTCTTTCACCATGTTTCCATCAAAGTTCAACACAAGGAAACCCAGCAGGTTGTACAAGAGCTTATAATGGTAAACATAGCTGCGGGGAGTCAAGGTGTGTCAGTGTCACATCTACACAACTGGAAAGTTGTGGGTCTTGGTTTTGCACAAAGAAACCAGGAAGGGGAGCCATTTTTCTTTGTGTTGCCAGTGACCCATTTGAGAAACGTTTGTTTGTGGATTCAGTCTGTCTCATGGACTCTTAGAAGGGGTGGGTGAATGCAGAGAGAGACATCAGCTTGGTGAAGAACCAAAGTGTAACTACCGGACTGATTGCTAGCTGCACTATGAGAGTGACCTTCCATCTGCTGTTCTCTCAGTTGAACTTAACCCTGCACTCTTTAGTTCCTGCACACACAACACGTGTGAAGGATGAAGGTTTCTGCACAGCAGTGGACGCACAGTAAGAGTCAAATACCTCAAAACACACAGCGAGACACCTGCCGTCAAAACAAGAGAAGAGAAGAAGAAGAGCCCCGAGCTGTAACAGAGCTGTGTGTTGTTCTCTTTTGATCAGGCGGGGTGGATGAGCAGACTGCTGTGTTTCTCAGGACCCCAGGCACTTGCTTTTTTTCTTTTTATACGATGATGTTTTCTTTAGACTGTAATGAAATCACACCTCCCATCATGCTGTGCACTCTGGGAAGTCGAGCAGTGAGAGAGTGCTTTCACAGCGCTACTGACACTCTCAGCTGGAGCAGATGTTGTGATACATGCTCAAATGTACAAGAATAATAAGAGATTAGGAGATGCTCTGAGCTTTTGATCGCTCCTGTGTCTCAAGTGATGTGAAATGAATTCCTCTGTCAGGGTCGATATATATCAAGTTCTGCTCCTGAAATTGTGTTGATTTTGGCATACTGACAGGTCAATTCTGTAATAAAAGTAACCACTCAAACCCAGATTTTCCTCTTAAATTTTGCCCAAAATAAAGTTAGAAAAACACCCCTTCCCACTCTTTATGGGAGTATCATATGCAGTATATTCTGTATTTGGTCCTTATGATACCTAAATAGTGTGACTTCTGGAAGCTTTCACACAGAAACAGGAACATTTCTAACCTGCTCTTATTCACTAACTTTTGACACTACACACACAAATCTCCCACAGCCCCTCCAGAAGGGTCATCCCCTCTCTTACTGTTTATCCTTGGCGATATAAGAATTATGGTTGTCGGACTAGAAGCAGAAGTATGAGCTTTAATCAGACATTTTTCGGATTGTTTGGTTTTACAATGGGCAGTCCCCGAGAGGTCTGCCTCCGCTAAAATCTCCATGAAATGAACTCTCTGAGCCAGAAGTCATACAACGGTTACTATCCCCAAGGCAGTTGCTGGGAACACAAAGCTGATTGAGATGAGCTAAATAGTGCAGTTTGACACACACAAGCATTTTTCAAGTCTCATTCTTCAGCTAGAAACTCCATTCAAACTTTAAAATGTTCCATATTGTTTATACATTATGAGTTTTAGTCAACTTTTAAATCCTATTTGTATTATTTGGAAATATTCCCCACTTTCCCAACTCGTCATACTTCTTCACACCTCTTTTTTTGTTTTTTAATGCTTTATTCCTTCTCCAGCTATACAACTATATCTTCTTAACTTGTATCTCTTCATTTATCCTTTAAGCCAGAAACTCCATTCAAACCTGAATATGTTCCACATCTTTCATACATTATGACTTTTAAATCTTGTTCATAATTAGACCCTTTCCCACTTGTCCAACTCCTTAAGCTGCTTCACCGTGTACAATTCAAAGTAATTGAGAGTAGTGTCAGCATTTCAACAGACCTTTAAATATTCCACATCTTCTTTAGTTGAAGCCATCTACATATATAAAGATGGACGACATGACAGATGTCCAAAAGTGAAGCCAAAATATCTCAATCACCCCCTGGTGGCTGACTGGAGTATAGGTCATAAAGCCTGCTGGCTCCATGTTAGCAGATGGTACATTGGCTAAACTAAAAAATCAAAGTACAGGTAGGTAGGATAGTTTCTGTCATTTTAGGTAGTTTCATAAACTCTGTATGTTCAAATCTTAGTTTTCCTGATAAGTTTGGTTTTAATTAGTTATTAGAAGCTATAAAAATGGGTTTTCGCTTCATGATTGACAGATAAACTGCTTGCAATTGAGTTGGCCAGGTGGGAACCTGATACTTTGCGACTCTGACTCTGAATGGCAAAAGATGGCAGCAACCGTATTGTACAGTGGGAAGAAGAGGAGATGTTATGTGAATCTTCTATATGTTGATGGTTGAAGCTATGATATTTGCAGTTTGGAAATGGAAACATTGTCCTTTTTTATCATTATACACACATTTTTTCATGTTTCAAGCAGACAAATTTGGTATTTTTACCAACGTAAGAAATATGGGTTTGAACAATGCATGCCCACCAACATGCATCTGTGACAGAGGAGGAAATTTTGAATTTAGAGTATTTGTTCCTCTTGCAGTGACACTCATTCAACAAGAATAATGTTTACACAGTGGTTTACACTGTTGCTTAGATATGAAACCAACAGATCCTTCTTTGTTTGACAAGGAAGTTTACTGAACCATATTTACACAAAACGTTGGCAGAGTAATTATGTTTTGTTGTTTATGGTATTTAACATATTTATGACATTTTTATGGATTTTGACAAGACTGCTGTAAAAACGACTACATATTCAGACACATTACTGATTATGCACACACCAGAACACAAGCACAGACAGAGAAATGTCCTCTCAGCTTGCAGCAAGTGAATTAAAGCCAGAAAGCTGTTCCCAGTGAAAAATAAAACTGATTTTGTTCCCTCAAATGATCATCTTTGAAGATGCCTGTTGTATATAGCTGGACCAGTATTCAAAGATGTCGTTTTTCTCTGGGTGTATAATAACGGATGATAGAATATTCTTCTGTTTCTCCTCTTCACTGTTTTGATCCACACATTATTTCACTATTAGACGCTACTTCATATTACATATTCCATCTCTGTTTATTTATGAGATTATTTCATAATGTCTCAATTTATCTAATGTTGAACTGCAATTTCCTGTACATTTGCTTTTATATTTGCAGTGTTTAAATCTCAAAATGTATTTAATTATACACAATCATGGGATACATGCCAGATTTTACATTTAATAGTAAACCTTATGGAAGAATAGCAAAAATGTTAAAAAAAATAAATATTTTACAAAACTAAATTGTCGATTTGCACAAAAATTATTTTTAATATATCTTTGACTAATGGCCTAAATTTGCAACAAATATTAATTTAACATTTTAACATGAACATATTTTTAGATATACTGCTTAACAACAAATTTCCTACACACGCATTAATATTAGACCTGTACTTTATACTCAGAGCCCTGTATATAGCCTATATTTTTCTGAACTATAAACTATACTGTGTATATATTTTTTGGTCTCGTGCAATTATTTATTTGTACACCTTGCCACTACCTCCTGCTGTAACCTGTGCAATGTTACATATCAATCACATCTGTCTAAAAAAAGCTGTATATAGTGTACATTTGGGCGGCAGTAGCTCAGTGTGTAGGGACTTGGCTTGGGAACCGGAGGGTTGCTGGTTCAAGTCCCACAGACCACAAAATATGGAGTGTGGAGGTGCCAGTTTCACCTCCTGTGCACTGCTGAGGTGCCCTTGAGCAAGGCAACCTAACCCCAAGCCCCAAGCCCAATGCCCACAAGTGCATGAAGTGTGTATTTCAGCCTGCGTGTGTGTGTGTGTGTGTGTGTAAAAAAGAGTGAAAAGAACAATTTCATTAATAATCATCTAAACTCCTATTCTATTTTTCATTATTATTTTATTCTCTTCTTAATGTGTCACATCCTTATCTTGAAATGTCTTGAAAGAAAGCTGCCTTTCTCTCTCCATCCTGCAGGAGGCGCTGTATCCAACGACCTCCAGCCCCTCACAGTGACTCTACCCTCTTCAACGACGTCTCCTCGGCCCGCTCCTACATGCTCTCTCCCCATTGGCTGAGCTCCCCGCCGCTTCCTGCTACGTACTCCAAAAATGCCTCTTTCCAGCTGTGTGTAGTTTTTTGGTTTTACGGAGGCTGAGGAGGCTCCTTTGTACTCGCACTGTAAACACTCTCGCAGGGCTTTAACCGGTTCGTGTGACCGCAGACTGCAACCCTCCCGCCGCTCAGACATGGCTCAGTGCTCCGGCTCTGCTGACGGTAGCTCCGCGGTGAACGGAGAGCCGAGCAAAGAGAGGAAGGTTGCTGTTATCACCGGCATCACCGGACAGGTAACGTTACTCATTCATCCCGCAGGACGTTAGTGACACTGTAGGAACCCGCAGCAACTACCAGTTGTTGTTAACGTTATTCTTATGTGCTTCTAAAAGCGCCCGTCGTGGTGTCTGTGCAGAGGAGGCGTTGGGTTTATACACCTGTGCCAGTGTCTCTATTAAAGCTCTAACCTAAAACCTTATCTCCCTGCCTTTCCCCTCTACAGCTGGAGCTGTGCGACCCCCTGATATTGACCTGAATGAGTTAACTTACAGTGAAGTTGCACCTGAAGCTGCTGCAGCATCAACACGGACTGTAAATGTCTCCATTAATGTCAGAGAGGAAGAGGAATGTAATCATTTCTCATCTGAAAACACAAGGTTGCACGCTTCCACTGCAAGGGAGTTGTCACGTCACACATTGGTGGCCAACCTTGGTGATTGCTCCTTACTCCCTTTAGTAAGAGAAGTTAATATGAGCACCTCCTTCCATAGCACCTGCTGTAGGTTGGATGACTGCAGTGAGACAGTGAGAGCAGCAGGCCTGGACTTTAACTCCAGACAGTAATAATAATGATAAGAATCTTTACTGTCTGCAAATGTGGACATTTTCCTTTCGGTTTCATGTCAACCACAGTACAGACTATAATGAATAATAACACCACATGCTCACTGCAGATAATAATGGATATGGTTCCAGTGAGAGGCGTGTTGAATTGAGCTGCGTTTGGTTGTAAAATACTTTTTCTAACTGTTGTTGGTTGCTGCGGCTGCTTTCCAGCGCCTTCCAGAGGGCAATGTTGTCAGACACCGTTCGTCTGGCTGTTTGTTTCACCTGCGTTTTGTATTCACATCCCAGTGGTTTCTGCTCTGCTCGCTTCTTCTTTATATAGCCCCAAATCCCAATTAACCTCAGGGAGCTTAACAATCAAACATTCAAAGCCCTCTGTCTGTAGATCCTCAGGTTGGATAAGTGCACAGAACAAACCAACACAATCACATTATGTACGACTGTTCGTGACACACCCGCCGGCTGCCAGTGCATTCTGTGTAACTCTCCACACAACCTGGACCTTTTATTGCTCCTCTCCTGCAGCCAATGTCTAATCTGCCATTGTGTCAACTGGGCTCCATCTCCTCTTCTCTATCCTTCTCTAAAACCAAAGCATACTCAATGTTTTAGTCCAGCTGTTTAAGTGTCTTCTTTCCAGTGGTTATGCTCTCAGTAGTTGTTTTTCTTTGGCCACTTGGAGGCAGCAGAAACACTCCTGCTTTCTCACATTTTAAGTTTATATGGTGATCGTTCGCACACATGGCTAGTTTGTCATATCCAGCAGATTCGGTGCAATATCAGCTTTCTTTTGCAGTCGTGTTTGTGTCCCCTAACTCCAGAGGGAAATGGTTCCATAGCAGCTTAATGCCCCACTATGGTCACCAGCTAGTTTTAGCCTTTGAGCTGGACAAATGGAAAACGGAAACAATTTAGTGGAAAGTCGTCATAAAGCTGAGTGGAACTGGAACCAGTCGCACAACACACAACACCTTTCACATCCTGGTAGTCATTTGATCTGTTGTTAAAAAAACAACAAAAAATATTCACATTTAAGGAGCAGAAATAGGAGAATTTGGATATTTATTTCTTAAAAAATAACTCAAAAAGATGAATCGATTATCAGAGTAGTTGAACTAATCGAATAATCGACTACTCGTTGCACACAAGACAGATGACGAGGTCTCACCAAGTGTGAGGTGCCTTTCAGAACACTGTTCAGATGCTATGAACACAGTGTGTGTGGCTGTTACAAGGCTGACCTCACTAACACAAACAGCTCCTGTTTGACTGCGTGCCGCTGCCACTGTGGTGTGAAACATCTTTCACGTTTAAGACACAAGCACACTAAACACGCCGTTTACCTGACTGACTCTAACCTGAACGCAACATGTGGACAATGGGCAGAGAGGAGTGGTAGCTTGGCAGAACTGGCCTTCCTGCTATTTATGTGCAAAGGGAATTACTTCAACACGGCTCATCACAAGAGCGATGATGGTGTCAAAGATGTTTGCTATCATGTTTCTCTCATGGCTTTGTTTGCCTGTAGGTCGGGTAGTTGTGTCATCATCACGTACAATAGAGAGACTCATTCTTTATCATGAAGTCATGATAAACTCACCTGAAAGTCAAACATGCCTTTAAGTTCATTCAATAGTGTGTTTGGAGACTGAGGATGAAACACGGTGGTTCAAAATGTCACTTTATAGTTTAATTG